GGGGGGGGGGGGAGAGGCAGCGTACCGGGAATACAGAAGCTTCACCGGCTTTGCAACTTGTCTGAACATCGTTCTAAAATTGGGATATGACTCTAACAGAAAAGAAGTTACACGAAATGCACACTTCCCAGATGATTTAGAAGACTTAGAGAGAGGAGGGTTTCGTAGCAATTTATATACAATCCAAACAATATCAAAGCGGTAAAAAGCGGCAATTAGCACATTAGGCTCAAACATGTAAAAATCAGATAATGAATAAAGCCCAATATAACAGCTATTCTAAGCTCGAATTCTTAAATCCTGAACCAAATGTTTTGGGTTATGATTCCCTAGCAGAGTCGCCAGAGCTGTCACACCTCCTTTTGTACACCCCGAGGGTATAGGGGAGTTTTTCCAATTAAAGTGACATTATTCGAAATGGGATTATTTTAATTATCATAGTCGTCACTTGGGATAGTTTATTTGGTGTCCCAAGTCACCGGTTTATTTTAAAATCTCAAATCGAGGAAATTTTGATTTTATTTTAAAAGTCTGCGAACCAAAAATTCTAATTAAGGAATTTTGTTAATCCGGGAGAAGGTGTTAGGCATTCCCGGGTTCCATGGTTCTAGCACGGTCGCTTAAACTATTAAAATTGGCCTAATTATCTGATTTACTACATGTTTTAAATCTATTGTGCATTTTTCACTTTATAACCGCTTTTATTTATTTTAAACTGCTTTTAGGATTTATAGAATTCTTTCTTGAACAAGTTACGATTGTCGTACACTTGTTTGTTTTGGAACACGCCGCAAACCACGCTACATGAAATGCACCCGCAATTCGCGGCATGTTTATTTTATTAATATTCGGAGTTGTTACGATCGGGTTACATGAAATGCGCCCCGAATTTGGGAATTAAGTATCACAATTACGTCACGGAAATCGTACCCGTAGCTATGATGATTTATTAATCGCGTCTANNTAAACCTAAAATCAGTCATCTCATCATCGTGTTACATTCAATCTTATCATTCAAATTCATTGGAACTAATTAAGCAACTTACTGTCCATATTAAAACCAAACTATTACACCAATGTAACAATTGTATATAAAAAAAATGATTTAATTCAAACTACAAAGGGAACACCTAGCTATAAAAATAAGGAACAGGCAATCAGTACAAAATTTATTGTCTCCTTTATGACTAATTTTTGGTGATAGCGATCGTATACCGCTCTTTCATTAGTTTAATCCGATAAAGCCATATCAATTTGCAAAAATAATTACCTAGTTCATTCTNGACACCTTAAACTAAAGATGACAATGTTACCAACCGCCCCATCTTTTACTCCCCAAATTTCATACACAGCAATTAGCAGAACCCCACATACCATATACAAGTAAAATGTACAAAGGCTATCGTGTATATGTGGACAAAGATCAATCTTGTGTTTTGTTTACTTATTTACTACTTGTCTCCATCATCGTTCGTTGATTATCTGCCTTTTACCTTAACCTCCTTTTCTTTTTGTATGCAAAACACGAAATCGGCAACTTCAATCTAGACGCAAGTAAAACTCATGGAGCAAGAAAAATAGAGAAGTATCGGCTGATGATGTTACAAAATATAAGAATGAGAGTTCAGGTTACAAGGGCAGATCTAAATTGGAAAACCATTTATGAGCGACAATTAAGTTGACAAAGTTAAAGCCCACTATTCAAATCGTCCGCACCTTTGAGAGGGCAGTTCACAAAACATACATCATGAACCACACATAGACACATCTGAATTTCATAGAAGAATAAAGAAGATGGATTAAAATAAAAATCCTACAAGTTTATAGAGGTATGTACCTAAATGCTTGGGCAACAGTACTCCAAAAAGAAACCAAATGAAAGCAAGAATGAAGGATGGAGATCAACAGAAACAGCACAGCAAAATCGCAACGCAGCAACAATACTCCCACACGTCTACAGATATTGAGATTTAGACAGCAAAGTTGTATTTTCTGTCCTCAAATGCTTGATCTGAGAAAGCATGTCCTTCACAAATCGAGCAGTTTCATTTTGTCAGGCCCCGTACCTGGGGGCGAGACCGGCACCTAGTGCCTCACCTATCCCTGCGTACCAACTTGCAACTAAGGGACTCTGAACATATGATGTCATACTTTAGCCATAGGCCACATTGCAAGATAACTACGAATGCTGACTAAATGTCAATATAAAACTGGGCTGACAAGGCCGTCATAACTATTACAGCTGACAAACCAACCAAATATACATACAACGCCTGCAAGTCCAACATATTGGACTAACTGACAGGATATGTCTACAAGCCTCTACTGATGGATGTACTATGATCGGAACAGCTCCCCGACCTACTCATAACATATATACATATATATACAAGATGTATATAAGGCTCTAAACCTGGAAACTCCGAAAGGCATGGAGCTTACTGATCAAGCTGAACTTGGGCAAAACTTATTGAAGAGGCCTACCCGTCTGTCTGTCTGACCTGCACCCATGAAATGCAGCGCCCCCAAAAAGGGACGCCAGTACGAAATAATGTACTGAGTATGTAAGACAATATACTGAAAGCTGAAATTGAACTGATAATATAATAACTGCAAGTAGCTGGAAGTCAAAAATAATCTGAAGATATGCTTATCTGCTGATACTGACTCAACTCTCTCAATATAGTAAGTAAAATAGTTGTCCAGCCCTATAAGGCTCGGTATATATATAACTGCTCTGCCGTAGTAGGCTCGCTCATAGTCGCTCGACCATACTAGGCTCTGTATCTCGACCAATTGGGCTCGCTCATAAGCGCTCGACCACAGTAGGTTCGGTATATATATATAACTGCTTCGCCGTAGTAGGCTCGCTCATAGGCGCTCGACCATACTAGGCTCTGTATCTCGACCAACTGGGCTCGCTCATAAGTGCTCGACCATAGTAGGCTCGGTATATAACTTACCATCTGATTAGAGGTTGCCCAATAGAGGCCTGCCCATCGATTATAGCTCGATGGTAATGAAAATACTTTAATAATGTATATATAAATTATTTGCTCTCTTGACTAGAAGAAGGAAATACTCAATTGAATATGAAGCCCCGATAAAGAGAATAGTGTAACTTACAGAACTAGAAAAATATACATAAATTCTGGGATAAGGATTTTTCTTTATGCTTCATTTTTCAAACGCGTGTAATTACGAGATCATGTCAAAATGAAAGAAAGGTCTAGCCTTAACATACCTGAGTCGATTCTCTTGACAATCCCTCTAACATACATTAATTGCGACAAAATACGGAACAAATCATATGAAAAGCTTGAAGCAAGTACAAATTCTCGGAAGAAAATGACCCGGAACACTGACGAAACCTAACCCGGCTAGGATAGCAGTGGAACTTGACAAACACCCGAGAAATTGCACAACCAACTTTAGTCAGTACCACACAAATTCCATCACAGAGAACCTTTTTCCAACATTGGCTAATGAATTTTGACTTGGTACCACATGGGAAGCCTCACAAAACAGTATAATATCGTAGTACTGATGCTCATGCTTTCTTATGCAAATTTGCTAGAAAGAAAGAAGAGGTCTTTTAACGTTGAAGAATTATCCCTTATTAACTTTTGAGGCACTGCTCACAAAAGCATTTCTTATAAGTAAAAAAATGATAGCTATCCACATTTACGTGGTGAACTCATTAGTTCTCTAGAGATCTCAATTAGTATAGTCGACTGTCCTAGCCTTGCCACCTTTCCCTTCAATTCATGAGTCACACTCTTGGCATGGAAGGGCTGCCACGTAATTCCCTTGTTGGGATTTAAACTTTATCCAATAATCAATTAGGTAATATCCCGCTACTCGATAATTAATCAATTACCCGTATAATTAAGAATTGTCTCAAATTAATTAAATTTTTTTTTATTCTTAATACGCTTTATACACCTCACTAACATGTTCACGCGGTACCATATAAAATTAATATATACACTATTATTTCTTTAAAATATCCATGTAAAAATACATATATTTCTCAACTTATAATTTTCTAATCTCATATAAAGAGTAAAATTTTCGTACGCTTAATTCTTAAAATGGTAAAATGTTAACTTCTTTTCTTGTGAGAAAATAATTTATATTTTTACAATAAAGAAAATCTCATAAACTTTCTCATATTATGAGTATAATTTAAAACATATTCAAAAGTTGTAATATTAATAAAAATATAAAATTATATCTTTCAAACTACTTTTTTTTCTCTATAAAAATATTCCACTCAAAATACCATATCAAATATATATATCCTTTTCGGTCTTTATTATTCCTATTTTTTGTAGTCCTGTTTTAAAATTGTATAATTTTAACAGAATAATACTCTAATAGTATTACTTTTAGAAATTAATAAAAAGCTAGATAAAATTATTAAAGAAAAGGAGATAAAGACTGAAATCCTAAAAGTAGACGATTTAATGGAACAATTAAAAAGAGTTGAAATACCACCGCAAAAAAATAAAATTAAAATAAGAAAACCACAAAAATGGACATTTTTCCAGGTGGGTCAAGAACAACAAACCAAGAGAGATCACGAATAAGTTTTTCAGATAATAGAATAGGTAATAATATGTTAGCTAGAATTCTAACTAGAAAAAAGACAAGAAGAAAATCAGAAATTGGATGAAATAATAGATATAGACAAAGATATACAAATCTTTCAACAAAATCAACTAAGGTTACTCAATCCGAGAATACTATATAATACAGGATATTTTTCAAATAACTCTCGACTATATAGACATTATACAAAAGAGCAATTATCAGCTATAGGAAATAAGGTTGCAACATTAAATTTAATTAATCCAGAATCAGTAAGACAAATTAAAAATTATAAAAAGAATTCGCATATTGGATTAATACTAATCGGATTAAAAGGACTAACTAGAAAGAATTTAGGAACTAAAGTACTAATAGTAGTATATGATGATAGATGGTCAGATCAAAAGAAATCTATAATAGGTTTAACAGAAGTAGACATGACAAATAATGGAGGAATATTTTACATTAGCCCAGATTTCATGATAAATCTAGCAGAATTTGGAAAAAATATCAAAATAGGTATACAGACTAAGGGATATGAAGAAATGAATAATGGAAATAATTTACTGATATGTGTAAGTTTCATAGGAAAAATGGCAACAAATAGTAATACAAAATTTAAAATTAAGGTAGACGATGTAGTCGAAGTAATGAGAAATAAAGGAATAAAATTAATAAAACCTATTAAGATAAACCCAGAAGAATATGCTGGATTAGAATGGAATCTAGAAGATTTCGCAAAGCCAAAAATATTCAAACCAGAATCTCATTTAATGTATACAAACTCTAAAGGAAAAACATCAATTAGGTTTACCAATTATAACTATTCTACCCAAAAAGAAATAGATGATGGAACTGAAAGTACGATGGAAGATAATGATACTGAATTTATGAATATTGAAATAATACAAGACGAATTCGAAGTAGACATAGCATTAAAAAAATCAAGAATGGTAATAAACTACAATTGTATGAGAAGGGTGTGCATTCTCCAATGAATGTAGCAAGATCCACTGTATCGGATAATGATACAGCTAGTCCAGTTCAAACGGTAACCAGTAAAGACACATCAAATCCGTTTATGGCTGTCACTTTGCCAAAAAGTAAAGATGAAGGTCCATCGAGAAGAAGACTACTCAGAACTTTAACACAGGAGAAGCGTTAAAAAAGAAGGGTATAATTTCAAAAAATGAAAAAATAGAAAATATAATCAAACAGACATTAGAAAACATTTTTCAAGAAAAGGAAGAACAAGACAAACACATGGTTAAGAATCCAAGTCCAAATCCAGAAAGGACCCAAAGTTCAGGAGAAGATGATAACTATGAAGACAACCTAAATTATCAAGATGCTCAAGATCCATATAAAGACGAGTCAGAAATGAGTTTTGATACAATAGTTATACATAATTTAGACACATAAAAGCAAAGTCTTAGTTAAACAGCAAGTAAAAGAGCACCAAAGACAAAGGAAAAATGACAAGGCTGGTATACAGAGCAATAATGTTGGCATACCAATGAGAAAAACAAGAAAGTAAAGAAGATGTGACAGAAAGAAATGCTAGCTATGCTAAAAGACAAAAGTGACAAGTGACATAAAGTAGAGAAGATGTGACAAGAGGTAATGTTAGTTGTGCTAAAAGACAAGTTAAAATTTTGAGTGGAAGAAAAAGTTACGAACACGAAAGGAATCTCCGACCAAGCCATGTGAAGATGAGGCCCAATGAAGTACCCTGCAAGTATGGACAAGATAGATTTCGAAAGAGTTTGGAATTTATTTTTCAAATCCGTTCAAAAATTTAGCTATAAAAGGGAGAAGAAAGAAGAAGAAAAACACTTTGAAAAAAAAACCCATCCAACCAACTTTTCATCAACCAAAATTCCTCTTCCAAAACACTTTGTAAAATATTTCTTTATGAATACTTTAGTAGTTCCTCCTCTAAGCTTGTAAAATAAATAAGTCTTTATGCTTATGTGTGATCGTTTTTAATTCTCAAAGCTCAATAGACTTTTTCGAGTTTCCCGAAAGGGAAATCTCTCTCCTATAAGCATGTAAGTTACTCACCTTTATCTAAATTATGTTTCTGCTAGATATTACCCCTATTTATTTTAAAAATTTTTGTTATTCTGTATAGTTTTATGTTTCATGTTCATATGCTCGATTATTAGATATCACTCTTAGTATATGGTTAACTTCCCAATTTCTTAGCAATTATGATGGATTAACCTGTAAATTCCTAGGAAAAACTGGTTAAGTAAAATCTGAAAACAATTAAGAAGGGTATAAGTGTTTAACTATGGTCGGGTGAGGTTAAAGAAATAAGAGTTAAGAAAGGTGTCAAAAACTTTAAAATATTGGGAAGAAGAGATGAACAGAGTGGATTAAAAAAAAGAGTAGTAAAGGGGTAATCTCAGTTCATAATTTAGTTAATATGGTAACTATACAAGTCTATAGAATAAGAGAGAGAGAGTACCGAGTAGGATTTTCACAACATAAGAGTTTAATCGCAAAAAATAATTTTATTGTTAATGTCCAATAATCGTAATAACTATACAAATCGAGAAAGCTTTGCTAGGAGCCTTACTCAAAGTTTGGAAGAATTTATATTAGACATAGAAACCGGATTTTATTCGATAGTAGATTTGGCCGTACATTTTATATATCTACAATACAATAGTAGTATCTGTTCAGATAGATATAGAAAACAACTGCATTTGATATAGTTAATATTATCATACCATCAGTCATATCATCTATACCATCTAAGAAGACGATTTTAATTTTTTAACTCTAACTTTTTAGGCAACTTTAACTGACTTTAACTTTTTAACCCCTTCTTATATATATATATATATAACAGTAT